GTCATTATTTTTCCTATTGACATTCGTTTCTGATATAGCGTGGCTCATCGGCCCCCTCTGTCGTGTCTTTCATGTTGCAGGTTCTACCCCTCCGCCCCTACGAGGAGTTCTGATGTCCTATGAATTTAAGCTCGAGCGTCTCTTTTCCCTGTCCCACCGCACGGCACGAACGTGGGGTCCTTCACTTCGGTGGCCAATTACAGAGCAAGGTAATGAGGAGCCACCTTCTCCTTACAGCCCAGATTGACACTCTCTCCCACTCATTTGTCAACAAATCAGGATGGATGGCGTGGGGGCGATATTGAGCTGGAGGTGTCGCACTCAGAGACGCGGTTGCCGAGCAGCATCTCCTGCTCGTTATCATTGACAAGTTGTCTGGAGCGGAGAGATTTGCGAATCCTTCGCCTTTGTCATCTCAAGATCATTTGTTCGTGATTCAGTACTTATTCCGGTTATAGCCTACTTGGGTAGACTAGGCCTACTTTTGGCATTTATCTGTGGACTGCATGGGACTTATATAAGAAAATCAGGAGTTGTAAGTTACACTTAACTCATACAAAAAACGTAGTTTTCAGAAAGTCACGCATAAAATAGTTGCAGATCTTAGTCTCCTCTTTGGCAGTCCTGTATAAATGAGTACATTGTTTAAAACATTCCAATAGCACCAATAATTATTTAATAATAATAAAAAAATAAAGTAGACATGTTAGAGATGTGAAGCAGTGAGCTTTACACATGCTCAGGACATATAAGTGCTCTAGGCTGCTGTCCCAATCCCATTCTCCCTTTTCCTCTCTCACGTCTGCTTTCCTGTCTGCACTATACTGTCCTATAAATAAAAGGCAAAAAGACCCCCAAAATTCTATTTAAAAATGTTAATATTTAATTTAATATTATAAACATATATAAATAAATAAATCGGCCAATAATTGGTATCGGCCAATAAAAGCAATTTATTTCATAATCGGCCATTGGCAAAGAATCTCATGTGATCTGATATACTTACTTGGTTCTTTGTGCTCCTCTGGGCCAGATGAACCCTCTGCCAACAGCCCAGACAAGCCAAAGAGCTTCTTCCCAGCATCCTCAGCTATCTTCAGGGTGTTTGGAGAACCAGTAGGGACATGAGCACCCCCAAAGACAAAATCTTTTCCCTCCACATCTGTGTAGCGGAGGTGGGGTGATGCCTCTGGTTCCAGACAGCCCTTCAAGCGCTTTGCAGGGAGGAAGGCAGACTGGTAAGCCCCTGCATCACGCTCCTCAGGTGGAGAGGAGAACGGCCGGAAGGCCACCACCGCTCCGTGGTTGAGCATACCCAGAGGTGAGCAGTCCAGATTGGGTGGAGCAAACTGTGGGTGAAGGTGGAGCAGAGGGGTGGGAAAGTCTCGAGTAGGAAAGCCTCCTTGCCGATGATACATGGAGGCGAAGGAGTATGAGCCACTGGGGAACGGGAGGTGCATGTCCTTTTCCAAAGTTACCGGCACTCCAAACGGCCGAGGGGGTTGGCAGGGTACAGAGGCATTTCGTCCAGCCTCGGCTGTTGATGCCAGGACCATGAGGGCAGGGGAAGTCAGCGGGCTGGGCATGTAGGAGGAGTTCTCCATCTTAAAGGCTGTCCGATGGAGGTCCATTTGAGCAATAAAGTGTCCACTCAAACTCAGTGTAATGTGATGAAGAGGCCTGAAGAGCACTTGACTCAATGCTTATAGACTTAAGCCTTACCGATCACTCATTCTCTGACGGAAACCTGTTTGCAAAAAAAAAAAAAAAAAATGTTGAACCCAAAAACACAACTTCTGGTGGTCAAAAGAAAAGCAGTTATTTAAGTAAACAGGCAGACATTCCTTAAAGTCTATATTTTCATGCAGTCATTTTCTTTCTTTAAAAAAAAAAACAAAAAACTGTCACATGACTGAGAAAGAAACATTTAGTGGCTAGAATAATTAGACCACAAATAAGTCCTTAAAAATGCCTAACAGTGCGTGCAGGACGAATATTATTGTGTGAGTTTAAACAACAAGATGCATAGAAGTAGCCTGTCCTTTAATAGCCTATAGCCCTAATGTTAAAGAAAAACAAAGGGTGAGCTAATTAATGCAAAATAAATTATCTTGGTAAAATGCATAAAAAAATCACTACATAAAATGATAAGTTTCATTTATTCTTGTTTAGACTACCTGTCTCATGTATGGTGCTACACTTCCCTGTAGCCTATGTTTAATATTACTCTTAATTTTGTGTTTGGAAATCCCACTTTAAATAGCTTAAGAATCATGATGCTAGTGAACTTTTTGCGTTGCTAATTTTAAATGCATACAAAAATGTAACTAGACATTTTTATATCAATTTAAATACCGAATATATTGTTTTAAATAACGAGCTATTTTTATACACTGTCGGTCATTTGGAAATAATTGCGTGTCTAAAGACAACAACAATAGCCCAACAACAGCCTATCATAATAATTATTATTTGTAATAATTATATATCCTAACAACAATAACAATGATAATAAATCAATTCTAAATAATAAAAAAACTTTAAAACTTAATTCAAATGCTAATTAATTATACATATGGAGCAATTTATTATTTGTGCCTGTCATTTTTTTTTTATATACTTAAAACAAGTACAAAACTTTTTTTTTCAAGTACAAAACCATCTTTACAATAGTTCGCATAAGCGGTGTGAGTGATTGTCTTCAAAACGGTGAACAAAGCTTCTAAATATTGCCTTTAAGACGTGATACTGAATCTGAAATCTGCTTTAGACTAAATTCGATCCAAATATTACCATTCGGTTGCTGTCAGATGTTAAATTTATGCAACTCTCTGACTTGAAGGTGCTATAAATTGTTCAGGTCACAGGTGTTAGTCAGTTCTTTGAAAGATGTAATTGTGCAAGAAAAGTTATGTCATACAACTTTTCTTGAAAAAATAATACATTTGATACATCTTGCGCTCAAAGTTTTAGTGCATTCCGGACAAGTTCACTCATAATGCTTAGCATACGACAACAACAAAATGAAACGGATCCTTATCAAACTAAACATCTCGCATAACTCAACAAGAAAGACTTGCGAAAACATAGGCCTATTGCCCAAAAATATCACGTTAGTTAAATATAGCCTAGTAAACACTCATTGTAATACTCACAATAATGTAGTCAAACATCTTTATCATTTCAGTCGGACATCAAACTTGTTTTATCCAAGCTCGAACGCAGGTGATGTCAGTCAGAAGAGTTCGCCAATGACTGAAAGAAAAAGCGCGAAAAGACGCGTTAGAAGCTTTTTTTTTTACGGTTTTGAAAAGAATCACGGAAGTTTAAGGAGTTGAGCGGATTAGTGACAAAGATTATACAGATGCGCGTGTTGCGTCAACATCCGATCCGAGCGCACTTCTGTTAACGCTGGCGAGTCGCTCACTGTACCGCCACGCGCGCGCTCCTTCTCTCTCTCTCTCTCTCTCTCTTTCTCTCTTTCCTCTCAGCCCGTCCCGCTCTCTTAACTTTAAATTTACCATCTTCCACCTCCCTGTCCGACTTGGATATTTTCTCAAATGTAGATCTCCATCCGGCGCCTCTATAGTGAATGTCAATTTATCGGAGTCTTATTATAAATGAACACCAAAAATTTTTTTTCCAATGCCTCAAACATACCTTTTGCATGTGTATTACGAACTCAGTACACTACCACGGGTATCCATCTGCTGGTTAAACGCCATATAGCACCTTTAGCGGGGCATTCAATTGACTTAATCTGCCATCCTACACACCGAGTAGCCTACATTATTGTATTACAAACAGTGTAAAGAGTTCCACAAATATAAAACTGTGACAAAACTTGGCTTATTGAGTGTAAGACAGCATAAATGCTTATTTTTTTTCTCGTATTAGCCTAAATGTTCAGTTGTTGAATGATAAATTGAGAATTTTTTCCATCCGTTTCAGAATCTGTTTTGAATAATTTCTAATTTGTTAATAAATGAGTGTAATAATTTATTATATATGCAGTCTTACAGTCAGCTGACCAATATTAATATAATTAAAAAAAAAGGGTAATGTAAACATGTTTGACTTGGGCAGCATAAATAAAAACAAACATACACATACATTTACTGAAAACTTTGGCCATCCTGTCTCATAATGAGAAACTGTTCGTATAGAGAGAGGGAACATACAATAAAGTTACTCTCTCATAAAGAACTAAAGTATTAGCTTGAGTAAATTAAATCACAGTTTAATAGAGGTTTCAGACCCGCTAATTAGGACTTCCAAGATCATTAACAAAGTCTTTTAAGTCTCTAGCTTCATAATCCAAGTCCTTAAATTAAAATAAACGAATAAATTTGTATGCTAGAAGGCATGTTTTTGAATATTGAGTCTTACTCTTGTTTTTGAGATTCATTTATTCAGTGATGAATCAAATTACATCAGTTAATTCTGCAAAGCCATGAACCTAATTGGAGTTTAATTGCTGTTTGTACGTTTTCGGGATAAGCAAGAGAGCAGTGTCTTTTGTCGCGGGTAAAGATGCATCATATAATGTCACGCACTGGCAGAAAGCTTTGTATAAATTGCATATATTTAGTTCTGGAGGAGTTACAAATAAAATGTTATTTTCTTTTCTCTCCATATACATATACATATATATATATATAGAGAGAGAGAGAGAGAGAGATGAGAGAGAGAGAGAGAGAGAGAGAGAGAGAGAAAGAAAGAAAGAAGATATTGTTGGCAGACTCAGGATGGAGAACTGTAGTAAGTGTCAAAGTGATGAGCTGTCTGCGCTGCCTTACCATCTGTGCATATGTATGCGTGTGAATCAGAGAACTCCCAAAACAGGCAGAAGGCTTGAGTGTGACAAGGAATACAGCGAGACACATTATGGTGTCCATCATTGATCACTTCCTCCCAGGAGTCTTGGCGCCTGCTACCAGGAAACAAATGGTTAAAATATGATACTCCCCTGTCCTCTCCCCCTCGGTGTCCCAGCAGCACCTCTGTTTACAAATTCACATCATATTCTCTTTCACTCAGAGTATCCCACAACCACATCTCCACAACAGAATGGAAACAATATGGTCTTAAAATCTGACATCATAGAATATTTTCTAAACAAGAAAAGCAACAGAAAAACTTTATTTTCCTTCTGTGCTAAAATAATTTCACATGCATAAGGGTTTCTAAAACGGACAAGGACATGCAGCAAATCAGAGCTTAGGGGGCTGAACAGGAGTGTATGGGCTGTGAAGTGTGTAACAGTGAAAGGCAATGACAGGCTGAGACCCCCAAACCCACCGTCTCCTCCTCCCCATCTCCCTCTGTAAGCTCTGTCTCTCCTCGCCACAGAGCTGACATTGACATGACACTCCCAAAATAATGATCAACAAACACTCCTTGGCCGAGCGCAAACGGTCTTCTCCCTTCCCCACAGTGTCAGCAGTGATTAACAAAGACCCCTGCGTCACTACAGACAGAAACACCTAACGATGGAAGGTGGAACGCACCGAAAAAACACAACATGACCAACTTACTTATACGGGGCTACTGTGTTCATACTGTTACCGGAAGCAAAAATACATACTAAATATTGCTTTATAACACAAATGTAGGGGAAATGTGTAGGAAAAGTCATTATCCTCACCCGTATTCATGTCTTCAAAAGCCCTATAGACATACCAGGCCACACTTCTGTTCGCTGACGTTCTTACATGTTACCTTTAGGACACAGAGAATGAGAAAGAATGATATTACGTCCCTCCACAATTACCAAGCTAAGCGAATATTAAAATGTCTGGCTCCATCAGTTGAGGCTATCGTGATTGGTATTTTAACCTTTAACTACAGGACAAAGGAACCAGCTCTTGGAACCAATATTGGAAGGACGGAATCTAATTCTGGAATGATCCTTAGTAATGAGGGGGCTGCCGTGGGGGCTGGATAATGCATATATGAGATATTATTTTGGGGCTGAAAGTGTTGGGGCAGAGGGGGCTCTCAGAGAGTTGAATAATCACAGGCAATGAGGTGTAGCCTGTGTGATAGAAACACCTTACTGTCTCACCCGAGGACAGCACTCTTAAATCAAATACAAATGATTATTATCACATGCAAATACCCCTTAGGTTTTTTGTACATGTGTCGTGGGGCTTTATTTTCAGATTTTCAGTGCTGTGTAAAATACTGTCTGTGACTTGAATGGGCAGTTTGTCATTGAAGAGCTAAAAAAAATAATAAAAGCATGTAATATTTTATGTAATATATAAGTGATGTAATATTTTTAATGTTAAATACTTGCTTATAAAACATGCGCTGTTTGAGCATCCTGATCAGTCTAACATACTGTAGCAAGATTGGCTCAACCAACAGAATGAGTTTGGAGAGACTTCCTGTTTGTCAGACCAATGAAAGACAGGGAAAACTTGTTTGAAAACACATTATTTTTGCAGTTCCATTCTGTGATACTGTTAACTAAAACTATTAAAATGTGTTTTTGTTAATTGAAATAAAGCTGAAATAAATAAAACTAAAACTTAAAAAAAATGTTTCCATAGCAAACTAATGAAATTAAATAAATAAATGTACAAAAATTACTTGAAATAAAACTCTATAACTGAATTAAAAATAA